GGTGGAGGGATAAATTAGGATTTGGGATTAACACATACACACTACTATATATAAAACAGATACCCAACAATGACCTACTGTAGTACAGGGAACTCTACTCAATATCATGTAATAACCTATAATGAAAGAGAATGAATATATATGTATATGTATAACTGAATCACTTTGCTGTACACCTGAAACTAATACAACATTGTAAATCAGCTATACTTCAGTATAAAAAAAAAAAAGCAAAGCTGCAATTAAATTTAGGATTTATGACACTAAAAAAAAACCCCCAAGTCAAAATGTACACTCAAAATAGGTGTATTTTATTGTATGTAACTATATTTCAATAGAGTTGATTTAACAAAACACATGAAAAGCAATGAAATGATCTCTTTTGATAAAAACCAGTCATACTTTTGTTTCATTTTTCTTGCTGAAAACAGGGGACCATTAGCCTTAGCTAGCTAGAGGGGAACTCTAGTATATTTTTGGTTTATTTTAGAAGACACTTGAAATGTTACTACTGTGAAATTGTTAGCTCTCTTTAATTGAGAGTGTACCCATTGCCAGGCACTTTCCATGTTCTCTTCTGGAGGAAAAGTATCCAGGAAAACTGAGCTTCCAAAGAACCTATTTTACCAGCCGACGGAGACCCTGACATTAACTACCAGAGAGAGGATCTGCTCACTTGATCCCAGGTCGGCCTCACCCTCAGTTGTGTTCTTTTTACCATATTGCCTTGGTGATGCCAACATACGCCAGGAGCCAGCACAACGACAATCAAACTCTTTGTGAATTTTCAGTCTTTATTACAGTGAAAAAAACTCTTCAGTTTGTTTCTCTAGAGATCACACAACTCGTCAATAATTTTTAGTTTCCTATTCCCCAACAAGTTTCTGATGTGACCTGATTATAATCATTGTTCCACACCTATAAAGGTAAGAGATACATGTAAGGTGTGATCCAAGCAGGCTCCCAATTTTGAGGCTTAAAGATTTCAAGAACTGCTACCATCAACCTATTGGGACTAATTCAGAGAATGGTTTAACACAGGTGAGCTTACCTGTCCCCTACACAACGGAACCATCTATCGATATGTTGATGACCCTCCCCCCATCACTTTAAACATAATGAGAAATCATTTTTAGCCAACCTCACTCTGAAGCTTGGTATGGATTTTAAAATCACTGCTAATTATTTTAGACAAAAATAGAGGGGAAATGATTGCCTTTGATTCAAGCAGTTAACTGAGTGTTAATGGGATGTCATTTTGCATAATTCAATTATAGTTTGTTGACATTAGAAAATAATTGAACATTTGTAGTCAGCTTTTAACGGTCAGTTCTGTTAGCAAAGTACCCTGGGTACAATCTGGCTTTTTTTCTCAGCACAGTGCAAATTCTAAAGAGTCGATGTGTGCACTATTCATTTCCAATTAGTCCTTAATTGGACAGTTCTCTTAAGGTGCTTGTTTTCCTCCCTTTTTCATTTTTTCTCCTATACTAACATAAGTCACTTTCTTGGGCTTGAGTATTCTCATCTGTCACATGCCTCTGCACTTACGTCAATTTGTATTTTAATTAGAATTTGAGAGTTTCTTCTTTTGGCCTAAACGTATAGGAAGACTTGACAATAAGACAATGAAGAATACTTTATATGAGAGTGAAGTGAAGTTACCAGAAATTATGCCACAACAAAGCAGAACCTGCTGGTAATTCTGCACGATGCCACTGTAAACAAGAGCGAGGGCTGTGCATACCTAAGGCTGCTACTAAACCCCTATCCCAGCGGAAGTATTCAATTATGACAGATATCTGGGACATAGAACTGGGAGATACATCTGAGTCCTTCTGGCTCTCGTTCTTTTGAGCAGCTGTGTCTAAGTTTCAAATGACTAACCACAAGGAAGAAAGACCAGTTGGTATATCTCAATAATTACTGAATTCTGTATGTATCGCATTTCTACTAAAATCCAGACAGTGTTTTAAGCACTGGTGACACTGTAAATAAAGTAGGAGAAGTTCTTGCTCTTAGGAACTTAGATCCTAGTGGGGAAGTCAGTAATAAACAGATATATAAACAAATACGTATCAATTAGGATCAGTGCTGTGCAGAAAAGCACAACATGGAAAATGCAAGGGAGGGTCGCTATTGTATATGGGATGGCTGGGGGAGGCGTTCTGAGGAGCTGACCTCTGAATAAGGTGAACAGGTGAGTGATGTGCACGTGTGCGTGCGGAATATTCCAGGCAGGAGAAGCATGCAAATACCTGCTGGAAGGAAGCGTTCAATAAGTTTGAGAAATACCGAGGGGGCTGACGTGGCCAGAGCCCAGCACAGGGAGGTGGAGGGTGCTGACACTGGACCCAAGATCAGGGGTCAGATCACGTCTACCTCAAAAGACATGGGAAGAACTTTGGGTTTCATCCTAAGTCGGATGGGAAATCACTGATGATGTAAACAGAATTATAGGCAAAGTATAACAAAGTGAAAATTAAATCTTTACTCACTTGCTCTTAAAGACTGCCGTGTCTGAAGGAAACAAATTTATAGGCCTAAACTAACGGCACTTACACATTGGTTCTAAAACTTGGTGGATGCTGTCCTTTGCATCTCAAGTACATATCTGGCTAGATTCATGCTATGCCTTGTCGCATTCAATTATAATTAAGTGGGCGTATCTGTCCCCCTGCTAGATTATGAGCTACCTGAGCATAAAACCTTTACAGAATGTATTCCAGAACTCACTGTAGGGCCTGTATGTATTTTAAAAATTGACAAGAAGCTAGTAAACTCTGTCTGTTAACAAGATTATTGGTATTTCCTCAGTCAGGAGAGTAATATAGACATCTCTCCTTCCATACTCACCACAGAAGGTTGTACAGTAGAATTAATCTGGCCTTTTGCATGTTCTGCACTAAAATTGAGCCCGACACTTCAAAACAAAAGGGAGACTTCACAGGCCCATGGATGTTATCTATTCCTGATTTTGCTAATTCGAAAAGAAATGAGAGTCTTAAAAATTCCTATGAGACTGTGTTTTCTGTAACAGGTTTGTCATTTACCAGTCAGTAAACTAGCTGATTTCAAAGACCCATTGTTAAAAGTGAAAGATGTTATTTACAGATATCAAATTACATGAATCGACCTTTTCTAAAATATTAAGAATGCTGTTGTTTCTCTTGCACTCAAATTTCTTAAATGTCAGACAAAAGTAAATGCCAAATGTGAAAAATTAAAAATAGTATGAAAACATATGCTATTTATAATTCTTAAAAAACAAGTACTCTTTGTGTCAATTTGTTACGTGATTAAAATCTCAGGAAATCATTTGGCATAGCTTTAAACACAATCCTTCATGAAATTCACTTCTTTTATCTTCCAATAGGCATATATCACCATTACTTTATTTCATACTTATTTATTATATTCTCATTAAACCTAATGAAAAATACAAATTATCTATAGTCAATAATTTTAAGTGTTTTCAACATATATATTTTACTGTGAAGAGGCAAAGGAGAACAAGCATCTTTTCTAAATAATACACAAGAATAATTTTTCTTACCATCTGACTGTAAACATATATTTTAAAAAATGGACTCCCCTGTGTATTATTCAGTTAAGTAGCATATATTCAATTGTCTTTCCTTTGATTGTTTATCCCAAGAAGTCCTCCTAAGTCTTTTAAGTTATTAATTCAATCACGCAACAAACTGGTTGAGACTATATACTGTGCCCTCTGCTGTACGCTGAGGGAAAATAAATTTGAAGACGTAAGTGGACTCTTGTATCCGAACCTCCCAAATTACACAGATAACATGTCTGAAAGGCATACTGTTATTTTTCTCAAAAATGGTAATGCTCCGAAAATAATTTTCAATGCAGAATATTCCTCACTATAAATAATGTAGCATTTAAACACTGAATAATAGAAAATTTACAGGATTGATTTACATTTTTCTTCCTGGAATTGAGAACAATCTGACTTTTCAGGGACAAAAAATAATGTATTACAGAATTATCACTCTTTTGTTGAAATGAATATATCATTTTTCAAATGTCATGGTTTTTATGTTCTACTTAGAAATTTTTACTTGTTGCAAGTTCACTAAGATTGTCTCCTATGCTCTTTTCTACAAATTTTATAATTTTAGCTGTTATACTTAGGACTTTGATCCATATTGAGTTAACTTTTATGTATGAGGTCACGTAAAGATAAGAGCTCATATTGTTGCATATAGATTTTCAATTGTTACAGTGCCTTTTGCAGGGGGAAAAAAACTATCTTTTACTCACTGACTTGCCTGGACCTTTTCTAAAATACTAAGATAATTTTGCTGAAAAGCAATTGGCCAATTGGCCATATATGTACAGACTGATTTTTGGAATTTTTGTTCTGTTCCATCGATCAATATGTCTGTACTTATAGAAAACTTATCCTGTCTTGATTAATATAGCTTTTAAAAAAAGTCCTGAAATCTGGTAGTTGAATCCTATAAGTTTTTATTTTTCAAAATAATTGTGGTTATTCTGTGTCCTTTTTATTTCTGTATTATCTTTAAAAAAGCTTGTCAATTTCTACAAAAAAAGTTTGGCTGCGATTTTGATTTGGATTGCATTTAACTGTACATTAATTTGGGGATAATTGGCATTTCAGCACTATTGAGTTTCTCAATCTATTAGTGTGGTGTGTGTGTGTATATATATATATATATATATATATATATATATACTTAGATAGATTCTTTATTGTATTTTAGCAATGATTGTAGTTGTCAGTATGTACACCTGGCACATACTTTGTTAAATATATCCCTAGGAATTTCATATTTTAGTACAAGTATAAATGGCATTGTTTTCAATTAACGTTTAAAAGAAACTGAAAACTGAGAAAAAATGTGTTTCATATTTACCCACATAGTTCCCATTCTGCAGAGCAACAGAAACACCAGACTCACTACCAGAACTTCTCTGTGGGTCCACAGAGACAACAAACTCACAGATGCAACAGGGTCCCGTAGAACTTTCCGAAGTTCGTCCCTCAGGTCCAGACTTTGGTGACTGCACACACCCGGCATCCTGAATTTCTTTGCAAGGTCCGTCAGTTAGCCACCTGACCCTGTGTTTCGGGAAGACTGGTTAGCAACTCTTTATCTGATCTTCTCTTTTCCAGGTCTTCACTCCCCAGGTCCTTATTCCCAGAGTACCGCACTGTGGCTCTGCTTCTCTGACTTTGTCATTTCTATTCGCTATCCCTTATAAGCTTTTAAAGAGACCTCAACACCCTCCTAACCATGCGATCATAGTTAATATCACCAGTAACGGGACAGATGATGTCATACACACTTTGATAGGTGCGCTGAGGTGGATATGAGAGCATTTCTGATGTACTGCTACCAAAAATGCATAATCTGAATCTAATCCTGAGGAAACATTCGACAAGCCCAAACTGAGGGGCATTTTACAAATATCTAACCTCTGGTATTAAAAATATGCCAAGGTTATGAAAGATAAATATCTCAGGAAGTGTTCCAAAGTAAAGGAAAGTAGAGACACGACATCTGAATGTAATGTGTGCTTGTGAATTAGACCTTGGGCAAGAAAAAAGTTTTCATCTATAATAGAGGACAATGGTTAGACAACTGATACATTTTAACTACCTATAAGGTATTAGGATCAACGTTAATTTCCTGATTTTGATAATTGTACTAGTGTAAGAATGTCTGTTTTAGAAAATGTACACTGAAGTCTTTAGAGAAAAAAAAGGACATCTTGTCTGCAACTTTCAAACATCTCAGGGGAAAAAAAGTAATGTAAATGTGGTAAAATGCTAACATTTGGGGAATATGAGTAAAGGGCATTTGGGAATTTTTTGTACTAGTTTTACAACTCTGCTGTAAGTCTGAATTTTTTTTTAAAACCCCTGGACCAAGATTGCAGGTGAGCATATGCTTTTATCTCCTCCTCCTGAGCTACCATTAAAATATAGGGAAGAAAGAAAGAAAGAAAGACAAAAAGGAAAAGAGAAGGAAGGGAGGGAGGAAAGATATAAATCCATAACAAGTGGATAACAAAGACATAACATAACACACATACATAACAATGTAATATACACACGTAACAACAGAGCAAAGACACACCTTTGCTTAGGAAGTTATCTGAGGATCTCGAAGAAGTGAAGCAAGAAAGAGCGACTGGGAAGAGTGTGCTCAGCTCAGTCGCCAAGAATGTCCTGTCCAGCTTGGAATAGGGAGGATGGAGAGCCGGAGAGGGAGGCCCTATGGGGCACAAAGAATACAAAATAACTCAGAGGCTGATGGAAATGGCCATCTGACAGAGGTCAAGAATTCCTTCCTTAAAATGTAAGTAAACTAAAAGCTCCATAAAAACAAAAAATGTGTACAAAACAAAATGATCCAAATTATTATATGAGAGAACTGGTCCAAATAAAGAGAGAAAGTCAATGGAATCTAAGCAGCAGAATGAATTAATTACTGCAAAATATAGATTAAAGCTGAAGAATATTAGAATTATGGCCAAAAGATATATCTTTCTTTATCCCAAGGTTCTGTATAAAACACATGATCCAACACTCCAGCAACACTAACAAGTAAACCAACATACAAGAAACACATACAACAAAGAGAAAGGTTCAAATATAAAGGTTTCATTGGAGCTACTCATCCATCCATCTCTAAAAATAGTCTAAAGACACTGGAATATAAAATAGTAATAGAAGACGAAGACAAGATCAGAGAAGGTTACAATCGTGTGTTTAACTTTTTGGTAATATTTTCAATTTTTGGCTGTGTGGCGGTACGTGGGGAGTCTTTTTCTGTTTTGCTCTTCTGACTTTTTAGTATGTCAAATATTCCATAATGTTATTTACAAAGTAAAATTAGTCAAAATATAAAAGTATACATTTGTGCGTCCATGTGGGTCTCCATTTTTCCAAGGAAGGCAAACACTATTGCCCAAAGAGGAAACAGTCTCCCTGGACTGAAAGGTACTTCACTCGTGAAGATTGTGTGTTGGAGAGACTTACTTTCTTGAGAAAAACTCTGACAATAAGAACTTGATTTGCTGAGTTATCAAGTTAAAGCAAGATCTGAATAAGACTAAATTTAACCATACCCTGCTCTATATTTCATGAAGCAGACTTCCATCATTTGTGATATCTTTCCAAGGACATTTGTGTCAAATTTTACTATGACGGCTATATCTTTGACATAACCTCTAACCTCCATTATTAACAAAATTTCTTGGCCTGAGAGCATTTTTTTAAGAAAATAATGTTAGTCAGTAGAATATGCACAGGTAACTTTTCACTGTAAAGTAGGAACGACATTCTGTATCCCTTTTCCCTTTACATTTTCTGTTCCCTAAAATGTCAGAAAAAGCCACAGTATCTTTTTGGTGTTGATTATTTTCTATTATCTACCTCACTTTTGTGAGAGACTAAGAAAGCTTACAGAAACTAGAGCTTCTAACAATGGTACAAGTAGACATAATGCAGAATTTTATTTATGCTCCCAGCAAACTTCTGCTGTCATTTAGATTTAAACAGAGAACTGACAGGACAAATTTCACCACTGCCAAATCCTCAGACACTAAGTGAGGTTATAAATCCCTAATGGGAATTTTAAGAGTAGAGTTGAGAACTCCTGTCACCTTACCATTCATGTGGAGCTGAGCACTTCTCTTTTTGTCACTGAACCTGTAAGAATTCCCTCTAAGACAAAGTAAAGGGAAAGGCTTAAAAGGTTCTGAAAGTTATTGGAAAGAAAATGTAGCACATTTTCTGTTTGGTCAAATCAACAGAGACAGGAAAACTTCTCTCCAGCAAGTGTGGGTGACTTTTTCCTTTTTTAATATGAATCAACTTGTTAATTGAAGTTTAATTGAAATTAGGTTTATTACTACTGAGTAAAAAGCCTTGAATGCCTCAGAGCAAATGTATTTTGAAGAAGAACTTTTTTTCAATGTATTTCATTCAGTTTGCAGCAATGGAAGAAAAAGGTCGTGTTTAAATTCTTGCATATGTAACTGTCAAGACATAATCAAGCATTCTTTCATTTGGCAGGAAAATAGCAGAGTATACCAATTCAGTGTGAGAGAACTTTCCTTAGACAAGTCTGTAAGTGTCTTAATTTGTTATGAACATAAATATAAATTTACTAGCATGAGAAAAGAAATTAAATACTAGAGGACAATTCAGTAAAAATAACAGAATTAAATAATATATCTGGAGTTTTTCATTATCAAAAGTTTACATTAAAAGCCTTAAAAAAGTGTATATATACTCGGTTGACTAGAGAATAAGAATCTGAGCAGGAATTACTGGAAATTTTAATGTGGGGAGAAAAAGCTTAACGAATTCCATTCTTTTAAATCTTTTTGTATTTCTCTTCTTTCTCACATAAGTGTCCAGGTCAACTGTGGAATTTGTAGGGATAAAAAGGTCAACCATTTCATGCATGGACAAAAGGTCAGTTAACCTCCTCCTTTCCTTCCACCTGGTCACAAAAACTATCAGTATTTAAACACGTAATTTAAAAGTTTCTTTTTTTTTTTCCCCCTTGTTTGGACTAAGTTTAAAGTGTTATCTTAAACTGAGCTCTACTTTGTATACTTAACTTTTGAATTTCACATCTAATTTTGGTTTATATAGGTTTAGTGTTCCTGCTGAGCTATGAATTTAACTAGTAAAAAGGAACTTAAATTTTCAAGTGGACAACATGACAGAAATCAGTAGTTGTTTAAAAGCTAGATGTGCAAACAGCCTAACCCTGTGTATCTTGGTTCGAGTCTGCTCAGCCGGCAAAAAGACCCTTCCCAGGACACCTAATTTTTATTAAAGGCTAATTCTGAATAAATTTATTCTTACAAATTAGAAAAGATTTCCAGCTGAGAAATTTTTACCTTTAATTTTAAGTTTAAAGTAGGTGAAAATGTAAATAGTAAGTTTAAAAAAATCAAAATTATTTTAATTTTAAAATTTACATAATTCAAATACCTAGGAATAAACCTACTTAAGGAGGTAAAAGACCTGTACTTGGAAAACTATCAGACACGGATGAAAGAAATTGAAGAAGACACACATGGAAAGATATACTGTGTTCTTGCATTAGAAGAATTAATATTGGTAAAATGACCATACTACCCAAGGCAATCTAAAGATTCAGTGCAATCCCTATCAGAATACCAACAGCATTTTTTACAGAAGTAGAAAAAAATAATTTTAAAATTTGCATGGAAACACAAAAGACCCTTAATAGCCAAAACAATCTTGAGAAAGAAGATCAAAGCTGGAGGAATCACACTCCCTGACTTCAGACTATACTACAAAGCTACAGTAATCAAAACAGTATGGTACTGGTATAAAAACAGACATCCACTTCAATGGAACAGGATAAAAAGCCCAGAAATAAATCCATGCCAATTAATCTATGACAAAGAAGGCAAGAATATACAATGGAGAAAAGACAGTCTCTTCAATAAGTGGTGCTGGGAAAACTGGACAGCTACATGTAAAAGAATAAAATTAGAACATTTGCTGACACCATATACAGAAATAAAGTCAAAACGGATTAAAGACCTAAATGTAAGACCAGATACTACAAACCTCCTAGGGGAAAACTTAGGCAGAACACTCTTTGACATAAATCACAGAAATATATCTTTTTGGATCCATCTCCTAAAGCAAAGGAAAAACAGCAAAAATAAACAAATGAGACATAATTAAACTTAAAAACTCTTGACAGCAAAGGAAACCATCAACAAAATGAAACTACAACCTACTGAATGGGAGAAAATATTTGCAAATGATATGACTGATAAGGGGTTAATATCCAATGTATACTAACACCTCCTACAACTCAACATCAAAGAAACAAACAAATCAATTTTAAAAAGGGCAGAAGGGACTTCCCTGGTGGCACAGAGGTTAAGAATCCACCTGCCAATGCAGGGGACACAGGTTCAAGCCCTGGTCCGGGAAGATCCCACATGCTGCAGAACAACTAAGCCTGTGCACCACAACTACTGAGCCTGTGCTCTAGAGCCCGCAAGCCACAACTTCTAAGCCCGCTCGCCTAGAACCCATTCTGCACAACAAGAGAAGCCACCATAATGAGAAGCCCGTGCACCATAACGAAGAGTAGCTCCTGCTTGCTGCAACTAAAGAAAGCCCATGCACAGCAACAAAGACCCAACACAGCCAAAAATAAATAATAAATTAATTAATTTTAAAAATGGGCAGAAGAACTGAGTAGACATTTTTCCAAAGAGGAAATGCAGATGGTCAACAGGCACATGAAAAGATGTTCAACACTGCTAATGAATGGGGAAATGCAAATCAAAATCAAAATGGGATATCACCTCACACCTGTCAGAATGGCTATCATCAAAAAGACCACAACATCACTAATCATTAGAGAAATGCAAATCAAAACTACAATGAGATATCATCTCACGCCAGTCAGAATGGCCACCATCAAAAAATCTAGAAACAATAAATGCTGGAGAGGGTGTGGAGAAAAGGGAACCCACTTGCACTGTTGGTGGGAATGTAAATTGATACAGCCACTGTGGAGAACAGTATGGAGGTTCCTTAAAAAACTAAAAATAGAACTACCATACAACCCAGCAATCCCACTACTGGGCATATACCCTGAGAAAACCATAATTCAAAAAGAGTCATGTACCAAAATGTTCATTGCAGCTCTATTTACAATAGCCCAGAGATGGAAACAACCTAAGTGTCCATTATTGGATGAATGGATAAAGAAGATGTGGCACACATATACAATGGAATATTACTCAGCCATAAAAAGAAATGAAATTGAGCTATTTGTAATGAGGTGGATAGACCTAGAGTCTGTCATACAGTGTGAAGTAAGTCAGAAAGAGGGAGACAAATACTGTATGCTAACACATATATATGGAATTTAAGAAAAAAAAATGTCATGAAGAACCTAGGGGTAAGACAGGAATAAAGACACAGACCTACTAGAGAATGGACTTGAGGATATGGGGAGGGGGAAGGGTAAGCTGTGACAAAGCGAGAGAGAGGCATGGACATATATACACTACCAAACGTAAGGTAGATAGCTAGTGGGAAGCAGCCGCATAGCACAGGGAGATCAGCTTGGTGCTTTGTGACCACCTGGAGGGGTGGGATAGGGAGGGTGGGAAGGAGGGAGACGCAAGAGGGAAGAGATATGGGAACATATGTATATATATAACTGATTCATTTCGTTGTAAAGCAGAAACTAAC